TGTATATCACTATTTACCTCTGTTCCATCTTGATGTGGCACTGTGAGTTAATGCACCAGACTGCAAAGTCGTTTGAACTGCAAGGTTGGTGGTTCAAGCTCACCAGTTGCTCCTTGGAAACCTTATATGGGGTCGCTATGGATCGGAACCAACTCAACGGCACTTAACAACAACAACAATACTTCCCTGAGTTCTTCCCCTATCTTCAGTGTTCATCTGCCACCCTCCCTCTTATTGTGTATTGCCTTCCCCATCCTTGTATATTGCCCTCCCATCACCCGAGCTAATGTGTCTTCCCTCTAGGGACTGGTCCCTCTTGATAACATGATCAAACTATGCGAGACAAAGTCTTAAAGGAACATTCTGGCTGTACTTCTTCCAAGACAGATTTGTTTATTCATCTGGCTGTCCATTGACAGAGGGTAGGACGTATAACACATCACAAAATGGAAGATACCCTCACAACACTGGAAATCATGATCTGTCAAGTTGACATATATTTTTAGGGGACACAACTCAATCTATGACTCTATACCGTATGAGAAAACTACATATAAGTCTGTGAGGCCTAAACTCACACTATAGACATCAATCAGTAACATGTAGATTAAAGATTTAGATAGAAAAACAAAGTTTTTAAACTTTAAAAAACAGGTGGATATCTTTATGATCCTAGGAGTAAGGAAGACTTCCTTAAATGTGTTATGTAACACACAAACCATAAATGAAAAGATGAATAAATTTTTCAATCTATTTTATTATATTCAAATTAAGACCTATTTATTGAAAAACACCATAAAATTAAAAGATAAATCCACTATTAAAGAAAGGATGATACAAGTTATACTTATAACTAAGCAAGGATTAAAATTGAGAAAGTAAAAACAACTATAAATTTAACTTTTTGAAAATAAGCAAACTGAACAAAAGAATGGAATGATTTGGTCTATTATATATGAAAGGATGTTTAACTTCTTTAGCAATAGGAGGGATACAAATTAGAAATCTTGTGAAATTCTACTTTATGTCACCAAAAGTCTGACCGTGCCAAGCCAGACTGGCATAAGTCTTAACTACTTTGGAAAACAATTTGGCATGTGACAGAGAGACTACCAGTTACCTATTCAATGTTGTCCTTCCTTGATAACAGAATACTTTTTTGCATGTGTGTAGGCAGCATGAAGGAACCCTAGTGGCTCAGTGATTAGATACTCAGCTGTGAACCAAAAGGTTAGTAGTTTGAACCCACCAGCTACTCCACAGGTAAACGATGTGTGTGAAGGTGTTCTTCCGTAAAAATTACCAGCCTTGGAAACCCTACGGGAGAGTTCTACCCTGTTTTATAGGATTGGCATAGTAAGTCCTGGTGTGGCACTGTAGGATAATGCACGGGACTGCAGGGTCAGTTTGAACCCACCAGCCACTCTGTGGAAACCCTGTACAGGGTCGCTATGGGTTGGGACTGACTCAGTGGCACTCAACAATAACAACAATGAGTTAGGGTAGATGTAGTGTTAG